TCCAGCCCGGCCCGTTGGTGCCGCATCGCCCGGCGCAGCTCCAGCCCCGCGCTGGGGCCAGATCCTCCCTCTGCCAGTGTCCGTGGGGAACTGCTCCTGTTGTGCAGCCTCTGGGGCAGGATGGGGCTGGTGGGACCATGTGCGTGGGGACTGGCCTCACCATCACCTGCAGGAGCAGAGCTGCCCCAGTGTGTGACCCCTGGCACCAACCAGGCAGGCTGCAGGAGCTGGTTTTCATAGAATCACAGAATATGCTGAGTTGGAAGGGACCCATCAGGGTCATCGAGTCCCAACTCCTGGCCCTGTGCAGAACACCCCAAGAATCACACCATGTGCCTGAGAGCATTGTCCAAACACTTCTTGAACTTTTGGGAGAATGGTTGCAAAACATCATCCCCTGAACCCATGCCAAAGCATGAGCCTGGCCCTTCCCACATCTGAGGACATTTGGGAAAGGGTCATCCCCAGGAGCAGTGTAACCCCCCAAGTCCCCTCTCCCATTACGGGCCAAACTGGACACTGGGAGAGCCCAGAGCTTCGTCCCAGCCTGGGACAGATGTTACAATGATGAGGAGATTTTGTAAGTAGTTCATCTGGGAACATTTTGGGGACATCTTTGCTCACACATGGCCAAACCTGCTCCTGGAGTGATGTTCTGGCCATGCTTAAGTAGCTGGAGGGACTTGGAGCTCTATGAAAACCCTTTTTGGAGGCACGAAGCTCAGTGTGGTCATGGGAGCATTCAAAGGCTTGGGATGTGACTTTGAAAGACTTTTAATTCACCTGCAGCTGTGACCCGAGGGCTGGCACTGCCTCGTGTCCCTATCCCTCACAGCACACACGGCCTCTCTTCCACTGAGTGCTTATTCGAGGTTAATAGGGCTGCAGAAATGGGCTCTCGGCCAGCACTTGCTCCAGAAAAGCCCCATTTCTTCCTTAATTGCAACTCAAAATTAAATTAGCAGTTTTAAATTTACTCTGTGCCCAAGAGGTGCCACAAGGGTGGGGAAGGACAGGCTGTACCCTTCATCCTTATGTAATAGAAAGGGCAAATTCCAGCTTTAAGGGCAAAATTGCTGCCACCTCTGCCCTGGCTGGCCCACTGCTTCAGTGTCTTTGGGGACAGAGGTGCTCAACCTGGATTTGATATGAACCTTTGGGGTGTTGGAGACATTTATCCTGGGTTTGGGATGAGCCTTTGGGGTGAGGCAGATGCATATTCCAGATGTGGGGCTGCCTCAGCTTCCCCAAGCAGCCACATCAGACTCACTGGGATGTTGCTGTGACCACCAGGAGACACCTGCACTGTGCCAGGGCTGCATATGCCCCCCACATCCATGAAGGATGGGAGGAATGTGGGTGCAGGATGGGCATGTGGTTGCAGGGACAGAGAGACAGGTAGCAGTGTGCTCGGGGATGGGGATGGCACCAGCTGCATTATTGATGCTGTAATTCAGCAGCTGTGGACTGGGATGTGGTTTTGTTTTCCAGGCATAGAAACCCCCCTGGGATGGGAACTATCAGCCAAGGACAAGGGGTCTGCAGCCACCCCATACCCCCTGCACCCACCGGGGTGGGGGCTGTGGGACGTGCTGGTGCTTTGGAAGCAGCTGCTCCACCGTGGCCCATAGCAAGAGTTGCTGCTCCTGGAGAAGGGAAATTTGGGGGCCAGTACTGGGCCAGTGGGGCTGTGCCTGCACAGAGCCCCTCACTGTGCACACACACACAGCACATGCACGTGCACACACCTGCCCGTGTGCTCAGCTCACACCTCGGGGAACCGCTGGGAGCGTGCTCCTACCTGCTCCTGCTGCAAATTCCTGCCTCTTCCAGATGGGGAGCTGCCATCCCGGTGACCCCGGGGTCCACTGGGGGCAGGCAGCAGGTGTTCCCCACCGATGCCATTGGCCAGTGCTGCTGGGTGCACACCAGCCCCCAGGGCAGTCCCTGTGTGCCCCCAGAGAGGGGCTGAGACAGCCCAGGACTGCCCGTGCCCCTGCCCAGCTCCCTCCGACACCATGTGCCACTTGGCACACCCTTAACCCAGTATACCACATCACTCAGGGAGGAAAGGGCTTCCAGCAGGTGTTTGAGAGCCCTTGGTGTGGCTGGGGACCACTTGCCAAGGTGGGCAGGGTCCCCACGGTGCCCATCCATGTGCAGTGGGACCAGGGACTGGGCAGGGGGGGGACACGACTGCACCAGAGCCGAGAGCCAGGTTTGAGGAAGAGGTGTCGTCCCAGGGGAAAGCCCTAACCCTGGGTGCCTCCCCCCGCTCGCCCGAGATGGAACAGGGCCAGGGTGCAGCATCCTGGTGTGTCCCCCACTGCTGCCCACAGCGACGCTGCCCCGAGACGCCGGCTCGCTGTTCGTTCCAATATAATCTTTATTGGGGAGACTGATGGGGGTCAGAACAAGGCCGGGTATAAAACATGATCATGGTCACAACCAGCAGCGGGAGGCATTGGCAGAGCAACACAGAGACAGTACCGGCCCCGTTCTGCACCAGGGGGTGGTCCCGGGGCTGTGCCAGCAGCAAGCCCCGTTCCCTCGGGGCGGGCAGGGGGATGGTCTGGCCCCTCTCCCTGGGTGGATGCTGGGCTTTGGCCAGTGCCAGGGGCTGCTCTTTCCTCCAGGATGCAGGGTTCTGGGACCCCTCTGGCTCACTCAGCCCCGGTGCTCTGGGGCTGGCTGGCATGTGCCCCTGGTGTGCCGGGTTGTGGTGCTCAGCCCCATGGGAGCACCCGCAAATTATGGCTTTTTCTTTATTTTTTTTGCTTTTTTGGCAGCAAACTTACTCCTCCGGATGCTCTGGAGAAAGCAAGACTGTGCACAGGGGGCTGCTGCCCTGCCAGCCCCTCTGCACAGGGGTCACATCAGAGATGCTGCTCCAGGGAAGGGACTGTGGGCAGGAGCCAGACCTCAGTCCCCCTGCCCAGCCAAATCCCCTCACTGGACCCAGCAATTTGGGGTACCGGACCCCATGCCACCCCCAGGAGCCATCCCACAGGTGGGTCCCAGGTGGAGCAGCAGAGAAGGGGCACAGCTCAATGCCTTTGTGAACACATAATGGCCTGGGATGGGGCGGCTGGGGATGGACGGGGAAAAAACAAGAATCCTCCAAAACGAGGACAAAGTGGAGCTTTCCTCAAGGGCCTGTGGAGGAAATGGGCCGCGTGTCTGCTGGCATCCGAGGGGCCGGTGCGGCGGCTTGGCGTGGCTACTGAGACTCGGCGCTTGGCGGCGTGGCCACTGAGATGAAAGCTTTGGCAAATAACTTACAGAGACGGGGGGAGGAGGGGGCAGCTGGGGACCTGTCCTCGCTTCCTGTGCTGGGAGGGTGACCCAGTGTGGCATCGTGCACCTCCAGGGCTCCTTGTGCTGCTGCTGCCGGCCGTGGGGCGATGGGGAGGGTGTCACCCCAGATGGGACCCAGCGTCCACTCTCGGGAGAGCCGGGGAGAGAGGAGGGAGAGGCGCCTGGGGAAGGAGCATGGCGAGGTGCTCGATGCACAGCAGGGGCACCCACTGCAGAGCCAGGGGGAGCTGGAGCCCCTGGATGTGCTGGTAGATGTGCTCCCCATCCCAGTGTCCCTCGCCCTGGGCACCACCGGTGTGTCGGGGGCTGCTGCCAGGTCCCAGCATCCCCATCACCTCCCGACGGTGCTACGAGCGAGGACGTTGGTCCCATGTCCTTGGCTGTGGCGAGTGTCAGAGCTTTCCCTGGCTGTGCCACTGGCAAAGAGGGGACCGGGGGCCGGTCGTGGTGCTGCGCTGAGCTCTCCCACCCGCTGTGTGCCAGGAGGTGCGGGCAGGGGCGCAGGGCTCACATGATGGTGCAGGAGGACAGCGGGTTCCGGATGTGGCAGGTGCAGGCGGCCCCGCAGTACTGGCGGAAGGTCTGGTAGCAGCTGCGGTCGGTGTCGCTGCTCCACTGGACGGGGTTGGCGGCCAGGGCCTCGGCCGGCAGTCTGTTCAGGATACTGGTGTTGACAGCCAGCGCTGCCAGCCCGTAGTCGGTGAAGAGGACGGTCTCCCTCTTGCAGGTGGGGCAGGAGATGAACTTGTACTTGGGGCAGGACTCGTAGAGGATCTGCAGGCACTCCTCGCACACCGAGTGCAGGCAGGAGAGGATGCGGGGCCGCTTGTTGGTGAAGTTGTACATGTGGCCGCAGGTGGGGCACTCCAGGGGCTCGCAGGGCGTCGAGGGGTGCAGCACGTACTGGTTGACGATCACCTCGTCCGACGGCGGCTGCCGGTGGTAGCAGACCTCGGAGCTGCCCTTCCGCTGGCTCTGGTACCCGCGCTCTCGCCGCGGCAGGGGGGGAGTCCGGGGCAGCGGCAGGGGGCCGGGAGTGGCATCCAGGGCGGGGATGTCCCCGCACGCCTGGTTGACGATGATCTCGGACTCGGAGGGCCACGCACGCTTGGCCACGAGGGGCGGCTCGCGGCGCGGGGCCGGCGCGTAGCGCGGCTGCGACGCCTGCAGCTCCGAAAACTTCTCCGGGTGGATGATTTTCATCGCCTCCATTTTAATGATGACCTGTTGCCCTTTCAGACACGACATGAGTATCGTTTTCACATTACTGTCCACTGCTCTGGGGTCTCCGAGGGACGCCTGCATGAGGCTAAAACATGCTGGCAGCCTGCTGAGCTTTCAATCTCGGTCTGGCAGCGGAGCAGAAGCACGGGGAGCAGCTGCTGGCGCGGGAGAGCATCCTGGGGACGCGGGGCAGCGCCAGCGGGCCCCGCGCCCCTCTTCTCCAGCCAACCCTGAGGGTGCCAGGTGCGAGGCCAGGGCAGGCAGGGGAAGGCAGGGCTCAGAGTGGCATGCTGCCTGCCTTGCAGGATTCTCTTGGGCGGGCGATCGAAGCGTCGGCTCCCTGCAGCCTCTCTGGGATGTTATGGTGACATTGGCAGTCACTCAGCAGCCCTCCTCAGTCACACAGCAGCCCTCCTCAGTCACACAGCA